AAATTCTATCTTCTAAGATATTATTAACATGATGAGGTTCCTCTTCAAAAACTATAGCAGAATATGACATGAGTACAAAAGTAAAAAGCACATTTAAATAGAGAAAGAAGGCTGTGTGAGAACCATTTGTTGTATGGATAACAGATATGATAGTTTGAAATGATACTGTATCATTATTATTCCCAATTCAACACGCATAGAAAAGCTTCATTTAACAGCTACCTGTCACTTTCCTGACAAGAGACATTTGACTGCGAGAGCTTGTCAAATCTATTACCACTTTACTTGGCATTGTAGTTTCCTTGTCTGACTTGCACACTGGTTATTAGTTTTTACTCTTTTTCTAAACCAAGCCACAAAAAGCATACAGCAAATAGATCAGCATGAGATACAATGTTGTGTGGGAGCTGCCAATCACAAAATACTTATTTTAAAATACTCCATTTTGTTTACTTAGAGTATTTACAAAAAATGTACTGTACACAAACAGAATGGTAATTTATGGCAGAAAGGGCTATAAAAAGAGGAACTCCACTCTGGTATCTTAATTAGAAATTAGAAAACATATCCTGTGTGTGAATTGTTTCAGGGGCCTTACCGCTCATATGTGTACCAGCCTGGCTCCTATTGGAGGATCTGGGCAAACACCTATTTTGATTGCCTGGCAACAGGGACGTGGACGCCACAGGCCTAGACCTACAATACCTGCATCACCTGACAGATGCACTCGATAGGGATAGGGATGCCTGATCCTTATGTACATGTGTTTTTGCTGCTGTGGGGCATCTAATACATGCGTCTTCATAATACTGAGCTTAATAATTATGCCTAATGTTGTTTTGAGTAATTTACAACGTGGGAGTTTGTCTTCATTTACTTTGAATTTACTCCAGGTTTGTGATGTCACTATGATGTCATGGTACAGAGTAGCATGTTTGTCAATTTTACGATTGGTAGATGGTACTTTTAATATCACTTTGTTTAACACTTCACTTGTCACATGCCTGAAGAAGGAGTCCTGCTCTGCCCCAAAACATTGTTACTTTTTGCTGTGATGTGATCATTTAATAAAACATTTGGACAATTTCTCAGAGATCCCTGATGTGCTGGCAACATATCTCTTAATCTGTGCTGTCTCCATTCCCCAGTCATTGGTCAATGTAGCACCCACATACCTTACAGCCATTTCCAATGTGTGCGTTGGGAATATTTTTCAATGTAGACAGGAGCCAGTTATCCTACTAGAATGTCCTTGGTGTGTGGGAGGAAACTGGAGTTGAGACAGTTTAGCTTAGATTTAGAATAGTATAGAGTTTAGGTGGTAGATAGATAATGTACCTGTAACAATACTTCACTTATTAATATAGAAAGCTGAGTTTCTTTACTGTTAGGCCAAGCCACTAGTAATTATTGATTTGCCTGTTCAATAATCTATAATTTGGTATATGGACATTGTTGGTAATTATGAAATGTTGAACCGAAACCTGCCTTGACGTCAACCATAAGCATATTGGGGAAAGATACAAAAGCTCTTAACAGGAGCAACTGTCTATAAAGACTTCTCCATTTATCAGCAGCTAAACTGTTTGTGCAAGTTCCATCAGCAGTGATGGTCAAGTACCTGTACATCTATGACTTGTGAACTGCAATAGTCCTCAGGATAAAATGGACTTTGTATGAGTTCCACTGCATTGCAATAGCTGTGCTGCAGCTGCCATCTGAGTACCGGATGTCTTATTTGCTATCCGTAACCAGATATTGAGAACATTTTCAAGCTTCTATACTTCTAAACTCTTGAAAAGGAAAGTTTGGTGTCCCTATCTGCTCCTATGCTTCTGTGCTCTTGAAAATGAAAGTTTGTTGTTTAGATTTTGTTAGTCCAACATGTTGTTTTTATTTTTTTGAATTTTGGCTATTTTTTATATTTTCAGCCCAAACATAGTTGAATGAGATTTTCTGTACATGTAAATCAGACACGGAAAGTAGGTAAATCCACTTTAGAGAAAATAAAAAAAAGTGATCCCCTATTTACCATTTGAGATAAATTTAACTGGGTAGTGGAAAGATTACTCTATTACATCATTGTTGAGATGTTGCCTTTATGTACAGTTGGAGGCATTACTTTATGATTTTTGTAAGCCAGGGGGTGTAGTGATGAAGAAATTCATTTTTTCTTGATTGTGGCTTCTTAATGTATAGGAATGCCTCCAAAACCTGGTTAAGGAGCCATACATGGACATATAAGGATGGTTTTACAGATGGTGCTACCAACTAGTCTTGTATATATTACAACCAAATTTGGAATAAACTAGTTCCATCCCAGAGATTCTTCATGCACGTGCCTGCTTTGATCACTGTGTCAAGGCGGAAGCGGGGGACTCCTAGGTGCAAAGGCATCTCTAACTAAGTATTACTGTTACACTTTCCACTATTATTACAGTTGTTATCTTTATCTGTTAATATTTAATTAAATGTTATATACATTTTGATTTTACCTAGAGGTGTTCATATGATCTCTCTTTGCACATCCAAAAAAACCCAAAAATGCAAAACTCACACAACGTAACCATAAAAAAATAGCAACTAAAACCTGTTTTAATGCAATTTTTGTATAGCTTCCCTATCCAAATTATAAAAGGGTTTATAATCACTTTATTATCTGCATACATTATAACTGCCTAGACTTCTAAATATACATTTCAGATTATCTATATGTATATACAGAAAAATTAAACATTTACAGTTTCACTGATTATCATGATTCAATCATGCCTATCAGTTTCTTTTTGTAAATACTACCAATTATGTGTTTCATTAAAATATTCTGGCACCAAAATGTAAAACTGTAATGATTTGCTGAAGAGTAATGATCATTTCTTGAATTCTTCATAAACATGGCACTTGAGATTTTAACTGAAATGAATTATAAAACCTCAACATTTTATTACCTGCTTAAAATCTTCTAATTTCTAATCCAAAGGGTAATAATAAAACATAAAGACCTTCTTAATGTAATAGATGTGTTCACATACTGTACAGTAAATTTCCATGCAGAGAGGTCATTAAACCAAAAATTGGGGGATGTACCATCACAGTATTTCTAGTAATGCTCCAATGATTGAAATTAATACTGCTAATTACACTCCTGTAAAGTTTAACCATGTTTAATGATGTATTTTATATGGTTATTAACACACAGCAGCATTACTGATGATTCCTACATTGTCTTAAAGAGCACTGTTAATGCTTCCTGGTCTTCATTATAATTACCAGGTAAGTGTCATGTTCATTTAGACACTGACTGCTGTATACAGAAATTAATGATTATTTCTCATCCTCCAACTTTTTTCCTAACTTGGCAATAACAAGGAATGTAAGGGAAAAATATCTTTGAAAAGGTCACAGTGTCTTTCATTAATTGCAGTAACACTTCAGAAATTAATATTAATGAGACTTCTTGGCTCATTCACATCAGTGGATGGTGCTCCCCAGGAGATTAAGTGACTGCAGTATTTCTGTTATCTGCAGTGGGGAAACTACATTTATCCATGTTTATAGAGATGTGAAAACAATAACCTGCATGTTGCTAACCCCACGCGGTTATAAATAAAATTATATCAGAACCAAATCTGTAATTAACTTAGGCATAAAAAAGCATCTTGAGAATATTGCAATCCCCATCAAATTTTTAAGGCAAGTCAACTAAACTGTCAACTAATACTGTATGCTCCACCATGTTAGCTAATACCTTTAACAATATTTAAAAAAATGTTTAAATTACTAGCTGCCACCTATGGAAGTAAAGGATGGTACTACTTTTATGCCTGTTGGTCACATATTTGGGAACAGCTGCAGGGAAGGTCTTTGCCAGCTACCAAACAAAGCTACAGAATCCAATGCTTTTTAACAGCCAATCTTAAGAGGTAAGAAATGCACTGCCTCTACTGCCCTCCCAAGCATATTTGCACATAGAATGAGGTTGGGTTCATGGTGTAGTGAATATGCTTGTAGTTTTGCAGATTTTTTTACAGCTTTTTTTGTACATTTGTGTGTGTTGAGAAGAACATGCATTTTGCTATGTTTCCCTATAGTTTGCATGTTCCTGCCTATAAGCATGTAAATTATTTTTTTCAGCTGGTAATACAGTACACTAGCCTTTCTCAACCTTTTCAACACAGAGGAACCCTTGAAATAACTGTTCAGTCTCAAGAAAACCCCAATAAAAATGACTATATTTACAACTCATGATACATTAGTGTGATGGTCAGTGGGCAGAATGCTCCTTACACTTGTGGTCATTGGGAAGAATTACCCCCTTATAGATAGCTAAAAGTATTAATGATGTCAGTGGGAACATATCTGAGAGGCAGACATTACTTATTGCTGAAGGAACCCCTAGCAACCTCTGAAGAAACCCTAGGTATCCATGATACCCTGGTTGTGAAATCCTGGAGTATACAATATATAGTAACATATAGTATGCAATGTAACAAAATGCAGTACATACTGTATGTGTTTTTACTGCATTAAAATACATATATTTGGGCCCCTAAATGTACATTGATGCAGTACCATTTATAAAGCCTGCTTTTTCTGCACAGCATCACATATATATTAGAACATTATTAATTTGAAAATCGTGTCTATCCTTTGCTGTGTTAGCTGGCTATGTTCTGACATTGGGAAAGAGATTTTTCCATTTCAACTGGAAGGCCAATGAATATCTACACTTTTGTATGACGCTTGACTGATGGTAAGAAAGGGGTCTTTACAACTTTGTGCTCCTTACCTATTGAATCTGTGAAGTAATTTCATCTTGGTAAAGCACTTAAAGTTTAACTCCAGCCCCACCTTCAGGCTCCTCTCTTGTAGTGAAATTGCTTAATCAGATTGTACTGCACCCTGTGAGCTTCTAACAGCCTGCATTAGAGTTGCAGCAAGTTAGACAGAGCCTTATTCATTTAGTGGATGTCCAACATATTTTAGCTCTTTCCTTTCCAGCTGTACTGTCCCTGGCCCGCTGCTTTTATTCATTGGATTTCACTTCTTATAATCATGGAGACTCAGCATCTGTGCCCCCTATCAGTGCCCATCAGTGCAGCCTATCAGTGCCCATCACTGCACCCTCATTAGCGCACATCAGTGAAGGAGAAAGATCACTTATTTACAAAAATTTTATAACAGAAACTAAGAAAAAACGTTTTTTTTTTCAAAATTTTCAGTTGTTTTTGGTTTGTTTAGCAAAAAATAAAAAAACCCAGAAGTGATTAAATACCACCAAAAGAAAGCTCTACCTGTCTAAAAAAAATTCTAAAAATTTCATATGGGTACAGTGTTGCATGACCGTGCAATTGGCATTCAAAATGCGACAGCGCTGAAAGCTGAAAATTGGCCTGGACAGGAAGGGGGTATAAGTGCCCTGTAGGCAAGTGGTTAAAGGACCCGGTTGGCATCTCCCACCAGCCATGATCTGCCTATATTGCACAGAGGAGAACATAGACCTAGTGATGATAAGATAGGTAAACAGAACGGTTTTATTTAATAATTTCATTAGCATGTATATGAGGGGGAAAGGAGAAACCAGGGAAGGCAAAATATAAGCAGATTAAACTACAGCATTAATTTTAGCTAAGGCAGATTATACTACGAAAAGTCATATTGGATTATGAATCTCTCCTGTCTTAGATAACATTGCTTTTGACTCCTCTACATCTCAGTGTTCCACATCACTACTCAAAATCATTACTAAAATGCTGCAGCAGCTCAAAGAACAAAAAATACCCAAGTCTCCCATGATAAAGGGAAGTTTTCCAGGACTTTTCATTCTTTTGATCATTTCAATCCCCTATTTCTAATTCCCAGCATTAAAGAAACAATTTTCCTGGCCAATCTGAGCTGATGGAACTTTTTTTTTTGCTTAATTACATCAAGTGATAACTAAATCAGGTTTTCCTAAGTGAAAAGCCATTGCTTACAATGTTTATAAAAGAAAACATGATATAGCTATCTGGCTAGCTAGATAGATAGAGCATCATTTAGACTGCTACCACTTTGAAATTGTATTTACTTTTTAATAATGTTTGTTAATGGGAAGAGTACAAATGAACATTATCATGAGTACAGGTCACTTTGTTTATGGACTCCATTTGAATTTAGAAAACTAAGCTGTTAACAGCTCTCAATATATCTTGATTTCAGGGCCAGACTTAAATTGGACCTTTACCCATAACAACTTCATAAAAATAATGTTCTTTAGCAAGGATCATACATTCCACATTAATAATTACCAACATTGGTGTGTGCAGTAAATTGCCTCCAGCATTGTTCCTGTTTCTACTTGCTGAAGCCCAGAGCCATGAGCAGCAGTAAATCTTTAGGCTGTCAGCAGATCAGCCTCTACAAATTTGGCACTCTTTAAAAATAGAGAGTAACTGAGCATGTGCAGTGCGTACTGGATTCAGTACATGCAATTATTTGTATTAATTTACACAGATATACCTGCAAAAGGGACCAGCCTGAAGCGATCTAGCAAGATTTAATTCTTTGACTAAAGTTTTACTATAAGCCATTAAGTCTGGTCATGCAATGACCAGCAAAGGAGGAAAAATGACAGGGCCATACATACAGTACATGCAAACACAAGTTTTAATTGAATCCCTTAATATTCTGATCAAATAATGCATTTAGAATACTGATGCTTGTACTTTCTATATAGATTTAGTACACTTTAAAACAAAAAAATATATATCTTGAATACAATAAATTTAGTAGTATTGAAAGTGCAGTGACATACTAGATTACCTATTGCTTCATTTATGAAATAGCACAATTTGCAGAACACTAAGTACTATTAATTCATAGAAAAAAAAAAGGATTCATTTTACCTAAAGCAAACGAGACACAAACCTGGGCAATTCAAAATGAGCATATGACAAAAAAATGCCTAAAGCGGAACTTCACTCTCTCAATCAACATTGACTATTTTCAATCCTTATGATGCTAGAATTATTAAATAGATAGGAAAGCATATCATAATTACTTGTTTTAAACTTTTTTTTTTTACATTTCTTCAGTTACTTCCTGGTTTACAGGCCTAGGCAAATGATATCATACATCCCAGGTGCCTTAGGGAGGGGAGGAAGAGTTTTCTCAGCTAAGTACACCCCCTGACTGTATGCATGAGCTAAGGGCAGATGGATTTCAGGAAGTAAATGCTACATGAATCTGCTCTTACTCAAGATGGCCATGGTCAAAAATGCTAGGGGTGTTTTTCAAAGTGATTTCTCAGCAAAATAAAGCATGGAGACATGGATGGGTGAGTTTGTTTTGAATATTAAAAATAAATTAAACTGTGTTTTTGTTTGTTTTGCTCAAATGCAGTGTAATTCCGCTTTAGGTTGAAATAACCCCTTAGTGAGAACTGCACATCATAATGTCTAGAAGGTTCAGAGGCAGCTACAGCTACACTATGTACAAAAATCGACTTTTTCTTTAAAATGTAGCTATTTCCTACCTCTCCTGCCTCCCTGATGATATTTTAATGTCATATTTAATGTCATAGCAAACCTGACCAGTAGTGAGGCTCAGAATGTACTGCTTAAAGTTAAGATGTGTATACAACTGCCACCATCTCCGGATCTATGAATAGTGTTTTTTGCTAAAAGCTATCTATTATGACATTGTTTGATCAATGCTGTCTAAATTGCCCAGGTTCATGACACATTTCAAATCCAATGCAAGTACCATTACACGATAAAATGTGACTGGTTGCTATAGGTACCTGAATTGCTAGATTCATATAATCTTAATATTATCTTGGATTGCACCAAAGCTAAGAATAGAATTCACTGAACAACAGACTTGCTTACAAGAGAGCTACAAAATTAGCAGCTAGCTCAGTGTTATATTAAGCTTCTGGAGTGGAGCTGCTGGAGTCCCAAAGTTGGAGGTGACATTATACTGCTGAGCTGTTGCATTAACAATATAAGGCCAAGATTCCAAAGTGTGCTATAAGGGGGCTTTATGATGGGAGAAATGCCATCACAACCATCAAAACTCAGCAACCTGCAATAATCCATAAGATTAGACCATTCACCCACTTATTTATTTGGCTCTGTATTTTTCATGAAAATGTCTTGTTTACTGGAGGTTAATTTACTAAAAGCTAATTGGCATGTTTTATTTCTTTTTTTTTGCAATTTTCTTTGACTGTGCAGTTTTTTTAATGTAATTTTCCACAGATTTTTTCAGTTTAACGTTGTGAAAATTTCACTTTGTATTTATTTTTATTGTAATTTAAGTGCAACCTTGCCACATTGTTTTGGATGATGGATGTCAGCAGAACTTCACCTTCATTCACCAAGGTTCTGGGGAACTTTATCCTTTTGTAAAGTGCAACTTCTCTTGGGCAAATTGAAAACAGTTTTTTTATCCCTTTAATGAATCTACCCAACTGTGCTTTTCTTCCCTAGTGCAACATCCTTCTGAATGTTCTATGGAACTTCTCCCTTTCCTGTCTAGTTTTTGGAAACAAAAACAATACATTTATTTGTGGTCATGTTTATCTACTGTATGCATTTTTAGAAATTCCTTATAGTTTTTAAATCAAGAGAGTGGGTGGTTAGCATTTTTTGCATACAGTGGGAACCTTGCGAGACACACACGTAGCCACCCTATAAACCGTAGTTCGGTCACAGCAGCAAAAGGAAAAGTGTGAATTTGGAGATTAGGAAGGAGGCAGGAGAGCAAACAGTAATGGTATTTTTTTAAACTTTCAGAAAACATAACATTTTTTTTGTGGGAGGGAGGACATTTATACTTAATTAACTACACCGCCAGCTTTTTGCAAGATGCAAGATTAGCATTCAAGGATTAGTATTTACTAAGGATTTACTATGTGATAATTATTGTTATCTATGTTTACCGACATCTACTTTATTACAGTCACTGCATATGCCACAGTAAGTTACAATGCATTATACTTTATGCCATTTATCTTAGATTGATTATGCCCTAGATATATTATGGGATCTACGTACAATGTATGCATTAGTTGTCGCGACTAAATGTACCAAAAATTAATTGCTTTTTATTAAATTCTGGGGGAGATAGGAGCATAATTAATAATGATAAGCTATTTAGTTATAAATATTAAAGAACCTAGGTGATTAAAATATGTTAATTTGACTTGCTTGGTATTTCAAATAGAAATTGTTATTATGTAAATAAATACTGTATTGTTTTCAGTACTGTTATATTAGAATTATCCTTTAAAAATTGCACTTACTACAGCTCTTCCAATTCTAGTTATACTTCAAAAAGGAGTAAATATATTTTTTATTTTTTTGCTCTATATAGTCTAAATAATTTTTTTATCATAGATAAAGATAAATAAAGCCTATTTTCCACAATTTTTCCATCTATTATTTGTTTATTAACCATACTTAAAAAAAAAATACATAACATAAAAATTGTTACCAAAAGCTATTAACTTCTTATTTATTTTTATTACTGTCCAAATGATTATGGCTCTTGGAAATCATAAATACTCAGCCATTATCTGGTAAATATTTAAAAAAAAACATGTTTAAAGTTGTATCGTCTCAAGCACCTGCAGCTCCATCCTCCTTCCTTACACACCAAAAAAATTTCACATATTTTAACAGTGCAGTTCTATCAGTAATCAAAAGCTATAAGAGCTATCTATGAGAACATTTACATTTATTATTCCTGCAATATGTTCAGATTTTCCTCATAAAGCAGCCCTTTCCTTTTAATACCAACTCTTGTCAAACTTTTAAGTATTGTGATCATACAAAAGTCATTGATTAATCTTAGTGAACGCAAAAATGTTGTTCCCATTTAGTCCCTGGAGAATCAAGTTATTCACCCAATGGTCATTTGGTTTAAAACCAGGCTGTCTACGTCATAGCTTTGCATTGTCAAAAGGTACCTCAATCCCTACCTGTGTAAGGTTGCCAGGGACTCACAGGGACAAAGCGCCAGGAGGATCAGTCAGAGGATGGAGGGTGGGAACTTAACTGATCAACCTTTCATTAAACAAGGAAATAATTTGCATGATAATGCCCCTCTTGTTTAGTCTGCCACAATATGGGGAAAGAAATTATAGCTGATTGTGAAGG